TCGATTGACTCTGCCCCCGTCGTGTCCTTCATCTGGGTTCAGACATTCAAGCTGACCGTCTACCCACCCATCATCTTACCTCTACTAGCCGTCTACATGGTCTGTGCCATGGAAGCCATTGGCGACATCACAGCCACCTGCGATGTATCGCGCGTCGAAGTCGACGGCCCACTCTTCGACTCACGCATCCAAGGCGGCGTGCTCGCCGACGGCATCGCCGGCATGATCGCCGCGCTCTGCACCATCACGCCCATGTCGACGTTTGCACAAAACTGCGGCGTCGTAGCCCTAACACGCTGTGCGAACCGCAAGGCGGGCTACGCATGCTGCTTCTGGCTCATCGTCATGGGCATCTTTGCAAAGTTCGCCGCGGCTCTCGTGGCCATTCCCTCGGCTGTCCTGGGCGGCATGACGACCTTCCTCTTCAGTGCCGTCACCGTATCCGGCATCCGCATCATCAGCACCATGCCCTTCACCCGCAGGAACCGGTTTATCCTCACTGCGGGCTTCACGCTTGGCTTCGGCGCCACAATGGTCCCGAATTGGTTCTCGTTCGTATTCACCTATAGTGGACCCAATACCGCGCTCAAGGGCTTCTACAATGCTATTGAGCTGGTGCTTGAAACGGGATTCGCCGTCGTGGCGCTCGTCACGGTTGTGCTGAATCTGGTGCTGCCCGAGGAGATTGAGGATGAAGAGACGCCCGAGATTGTGGCGGATGGGGAGGAGAAGGCGGGTGAGAGCGGCGAGTGGGATCAGAGTTGCAAGGGTGCTACCGGTGCGGATGTGGATGTTGAGGGACGAGCGAGTTCGGATATTGTGGCTACCAAGGCGGCATGAAGGGTGGTGATGTTTGTGAATCGGTTTCTTGGGAATACAAAAAAAAACAAAAGGTTTAAGAGGGAAATGCGATTATAATCTCTTACGGAGTTTCAAAAATAAAATGGCTCTTTCATTCGCTCTGTTGGGTTACCGGATAGCCGGCTGTTCAACTATCCCGTTCAATCTCCTTACGAAGTACAACATCCCCTTACCAAGCATCAGTCCGTGCACTAATCGCCATTCGAGGCTTCTAGTATCGTCGACTACGACGCCACCATATCTACTACTACCATTCAAGCTCCATACAAAAAATATGGAGAATGCGCCCACACGTCTGCACGCACGTACACATAGTTTTTGTGTGGAGACAGTCAATTTATTTTTCCGCGCAGCTACTAGCAGCACCACCGTTGACAAGCAAAACGTTGTTTGCATGATTATGTAAAAGTGGTAGTTCTTCAGCCTTACCCGCCACCAACAAAAAGTTATGTATGTGTGATGTGAGCATGAGACGACAACGACATCACGTCGACAACTTTTTTGGGGGGTCTTGACACCCACCCACACACACACACACACACCCTAAATCCAGCCAGGGTGGTCTTTCCAGCAAAGAAAAAAAGGCTGGAACCGAGGGAGGGAGGGAATAACGGGATGCGATAACTATTGGTGATGCAACAGGCGGCAAGGTGTTGAGGCCGCGCCAGTTCCCGATTCGGTAGAGCTTGCGAGAGGGGGACTGGTGACTTTTTTTTCTTGAACAACGCACACACCCGCCCTGCTTCTAATCTGGTGCGGACGATTTCGCTGTAATGTATTTTTTGGAGGGGGGCTCTTTACATACGCGCAGTGTTTCAGACTGGGGGGGATTGGGCCGGGGCAAACGTGGTTAAGATGGGTTGTGAGGGTTGGTGTTGGTTCAATCAAGTGCTGTGTAAAAAGAGTCATGGGTAATGGGGCTGGGGAGGGGGGGGCCGCTGTTATTTTTGATGGACAGCCGAACACGACCTCTTTTTTTGGGGGGGGACACATCTTTTTTTTTTGCCACACACTGCCCGAGAGTAATGTTGTGAACTCGGCCAGATCACTATCGAGACAATTCTTTCAAGTTTGAAAGCTGAAAAGAAGGTACATAATGGCATACGTAAGTGTGCAGAACCGGATGTCCGGATACCTTAGCGATATCAACAAAAAAGTGTTTCAAGGGAAGGATTCCTGGTGGTGGAAAGGTTGGCCGGATTGCAGGTGCGAACCAGATTGTATAGAATACTCTAGCATTTTTTTTACCAGCTAGGCGGGGATTATGGAGAAGCAAAGACTACGGCTAGCCGATTAGCGATGACGGCGAGTTTTGGAGTGGCATCACCACGGCGTGAGCTTCTATGCCCAGTGAGGCAATCCGCTTGTAAGGACACACACACATTCATAGTACACAGTGCCGATGGTTCTGAATCAGACCGCTTTTTGGAGGGATAATCAATTTAGGCGTTCTTTTTCTTTCCTTCTTCCTCTCGTTCTCCTTTCCTTCCCCCAGTCAACGGGCAGCCATGTTCTCTTGCCTGCCTAGTCAAGGGAGCAGGCCGAGCGCGATGCGGGAATCTGGGGAAAAAAGGGCATGAGGTGTGCATGCCCTGGGGGCCCAGCTGCAACAGGTTGGAATGCCCGCGCGCACCGCCACCCAGGCCGTTCTCGATGCCGAGATCAGCGCGAGGCCTGCGCGGAGTCCCGAAATTTCTTCGCCCCGGGACCCTGCCGCCGTAGTGAGAGACGGCACTAACCAGATTCGGGCCATAAATTACGTTACGGCAAAAAAAGGGCCCTTTTGGCGGCGGCGATGCAGGCGCGCTTGACAATGCAGGTCCCAGTCTTTCGCTTACCTGCCCGCAGAGTGTTGGGATGGACAAACTGCCCGCCGCCTTATATTAATGTCGTCCTGCCCGCCGCCACTTTTGCTCTCCCCCCTCCATCCCAACTTTTTGTTGCTCCTCCCCTCCGACTACCTTCTGCCTCGTCGTTGACTCGACCGTGGGTGAAGCTTTCCGTCGTTGCTCGAGCTTTCTTGCTCACCCCCGGAGCCCGGACTATCTTTTTTTGAGCCGCTAGTCGTCTCTCCTCCCCCCCATCACTTCATTCGCTTTCCCTACACACCACCTTACCGCTACATCCTTCAACATGCCCTCTCACCAGCCTACTGCTGGCATGATGGCTGTCGACCCCGACTACGTCAAGCAGCCTTCCTCAATGGCAAGCACCTCGGAGCCCAACCGCAACCCCAAGTACGACCCCAAGAAGCCACACATCACCGATACCCCCATTACAAAGTCCAACTGGTACAAGCACGTCAACTGGCTCAACGTAAGTCTCGAGTTCCCTCCCCGCAGCACACGGCATTTGCTAACGTAGCGTTTTCAGGTTACCTTCATTATCGGAATCCCCCTCGCCGGTTGCATCGCTGCCTTCTGGACACCGCTCAAGTGGCAGACTGCCCTCTGGGCCGTCATCTACTACTTCTGGACCGGTCTCGGTATCACGGCTGGCTACCATCGTCTCTGGGCACACAAGTCATACAATGCCAGTCTTCCTCTGAGCGTCTTCCTCGCTCTCGTTGGCGGCGGTGCTGTCGAGGGCTCCATCCGCTGGTGGAGCCGTGACCACCGTGCCCACCACCGCTACACCGACACCAACAAGGACCCCTACAGCGTCCGCAAGGGACTTCTCTACAGCCACCTTGGCTGGATGGTCATGAAGCAGAACCCCAAGCGCATTGGCCGTACCGACATCACCGACTTGAACGAGGACCCTGTCGTTGTCTGGCAGCACAAGAATTACATCAAGGTTGTCATCTTCATGGGTCTCATCTTCCCCTCTGCTGTCGCTGGTCTCCTCTGGAACGACTGGAAGGGTGGCTTCATCTACGCTGGTATCCTCCGCATCTTCTTCGTCCAGCAGGCCACCTTCTGCGTCAACTCGCTCGCCCACTGGCTCGGTGACCAGCCCTTTGACGACCGCAACAGCCCCAGGGACCACGTCATCACTGCTCTCGTCACTCTCGGTGAGGGATACCACAACTTCCACCACGAGTTCCCCTCCGACTACCGCAACGCTATCGAGTGGCACCAGTACGATCCCACCAAGTGGTCCATCTGGCTGTGGAGCAAGCTCGGTCTCGCCTCCAACCTCAAGCAGTTCCGTGCCAACGAGATCGAGAAGGGCCGTGTCCAGCAACTCCAGAAGAAGATTGACCAGAAGCGCGCCAAGCTCGACTGGGGTGTTCCTCTTGAGCAGCTTCCTGTCATCGAATGGGACGACTACGTTGAGCAGGCCAAGAACGGCCGTGGTCTGATCGCTGTCGCTGGTGTTGTTCATGACGTTACCGACTTCATCAACGAGCACCCCGGTGGCAAGACCCTGATCAAGAGCGGCATTGGCAAGGACGCTACTGCCATGTTCAACGGTGGTGTCTACTTCCATTCCAACGCTGCCCACAACCTACTCTCTACCATGAGGGTCGGTGTCATCCGTGGTGGATGCGAGGTTGAGATCTGGAAGCGTGCCCAGAAGGAGAACAAGGAGGTCAACATCGTCAAGGACGAGCAAGGCAATCCAATCATCCGCGCTGGCAACCAAGTCACCAAGGTTGCTCAGCCTATGCTCAGCGCCAGCGCGGCATAGAATGTTTCCTTTATTCGATTTTAGCGATACTCGGCGTTTGGGGGGATGCCTTTCCACCTTTGAAGAAGTGGCATAATAAGTTTGTCTTTTCCTTTCATTCCTTTCGCTATAGAGTATCAGGGCATGATGCTCAAGTACCATTAGATTGTGTATGTTTATAGCCTTTGATAAGCAGTTTGCTTGGAAAAGTGAGCTTTACCGTCTATATACTAAGATGTGATGTCATCATTGACTTCACCCTTTGGATTTATGTGCAATTTTGTATTGTGACTGCTGTTGTGACGCTTCCTTCCTTCCTACTTGCCCCAACACTTGTATCTGTAAGAAGGGGGTGACTGCCTATTCCCCACCAAGCGGCCCGTGCCTGACTCTTACTTTAACCTTTCCCTTTTGACACCGAACTTCCAACCCGTTTTCCTATCCTTGTTCTAAATTACTAAGAAAAAAGTGGTCTTGCTAATAACTCACTGCCGCCTCGGTAGGTAGTAGCTGGACATATTATCGCGATGCAACAAGATCCCGAAGATGCTCCGCCGAGTAAGCGCCGAAGAATCGGTGTTGACTCGCCCAAAGAGGAAGTGTTTGAGAACCAGCCTTGTTCTTCGACAAAATCACGCAAGGGTCTCGATAGGCCGATTAGTCCCCCGACGTTATCGAAGCGGATAGGGCGGGAAGAGGGTGCTGCTTTTACGCCAAGCTGGAGTTTTGATGGTGTGGTGAAAGAGGAGGGGGCGTTGGGGACAGCGGAGCCATCTACTACATCAAACAGCAAGGAAACCGTAAAAGAGAAAGATGCTAATGCAGAGACACGGTTCATCCCTTCGCCAGTACAGCTCACCCGGATTGAGAGGCTGCCCATGGAGAAGAATGTCGATACGGTGGGCTTGGCTGATTTGCTGGGAGATCCCTTGATCAAAGAGTGCTGGAACTTTAATTATTTGTTTGACCTGGATTTCGTCATGTGAGTATTTTCTGGGTGGCGTATCTGAGAGTGGACATGTAGGTGGTAGTGTACTAACGTGAATTTAGGCAACACTTTGATAGGGACGTTAGGGATATGGTCAAAGTCAAGATTGTGCATGGCTTCTGGAGGAATAATGACAAGAGCAGGATTGCATTACTGGTAAGTGAGATACTTTCTGAGAGTTTGATGCTTATTTCAATCGTCCTTTGTCGGATATCGATTACCTGAATACTGAGACTTCATAGGAAACAGCAGAGCGATATCCCAACATTAACCTTATAAGTGCATATCTCTCAGACCAGTTTGGTACTCACCATTCGAAAATGCTCATTCTCTTCCGACACGATGATACTGCTCAGATCGTTATCCATACAGCCAACATGATTCACCGCGACTGGGCGAATATGACACAAGCAGTCTGGGTGTCACCGTTGCTTCCATTCTTGCCGCACACAGAATGGGAGGAGCAATCAAAGTCCACAAAGATCCACGCTATCGGGAGCGGCGAACGATTCAAAATTGATCTTATTCATTACTTGCATGCTTATGGACTGCGTATGAAGGCCCTAATTCTCCAGCTTGAATACTACGACTTCTCGAGTATTCGGGCAGCGTTCCTTGGAAGCGCGCCATCAAAAGAGAAATCATCTGCGGCCAGTCCTTCGAACACTGCTTTTGGCTGGTTAGGGCTAGACCAGACACTTTCTAGTATTCCAGTCAAGGCATCAGAAGACAGTTCCCGTCCTCACATTGTCACTCAAATCTCGTCAGTGGCGACATTAGGTGCGACACCAACATGGCTTTCCCACTTCCAGTCTATCCTTTCGCGCTGTTCATATGTTAAAGATGCAAGAAAAGAAGAAGCATCATCGTCATCCACAAAATCGCCTACATTATTCACCAAGCAAAAGACCAATGCGGCAAAAGCACCAGAACCCAAGTTCAGCGTCGTATTCCCGACCCCAGCCGAGATCCGCAGGTCCCTAGATGGCTACACGTCTGGTGGGTCCATCCACTGGAAATATCACTCTGCCCAGCAGCAAAAACAGCTCGAATACATGCACCCACTACTCTGTCACTGGACCCCCATATCCCGCCCCGACCCATCTCAACGAGAAGCACACCGTGGCACAGCAGCACCACACATTAAGACGTACATTCGCTTCAGCGACGAAACCCACACGACCATGGACTGGGCTTTGCTCACAAGCGCCAACCTAAGCAAGCAAGCATGGGGTGATGTGGTGAACAAAAACGAAGAAATCAGGATTCAGTCATATGAAACAGGTGTAATGGTATGGCCTGCTCTATTTGCAGAATCTGGGCATTCATCGACTATGGTTCCGGTGTTCGGGACTGATAACCCAGAGGCAGGCAAACATGGCGAGGAAAAGAGAGGGACAGTGGTTGGATTCCGCATGCCGTACAATCTACCACTCGTGCCTTACTCGGCTGATGAGCGACCTTGGTGTGCGACGTTGGCGTATGAGGAGCGGGATCGGTATGGACGTTCCTGGCCTGGTTGGGGACGTTGAAGGGGGTACCAAGCGTATACATACTTCTTACCATCACTTTTAGTGATGATGTAAATGTGCCAGTCTTAGCCGAACATGATGTAGTAACGCATTGCAAACATGTGAAATTAGAAACCAGGATAACATATCATGGCTCAAAAGCCCTTTTTTTCATTCTTTTATTCATTCAACCATTGATTACGCCTTGTGGAATCATGGCATTCCCCATCTTTTCATCTCTCTTACTTGTCATACTTGGCCAGTACCTCCTCACCAGTCTTGATGTACTCCTGCTCAGCCTGCTCCTGAGTGGTTCCAGCATCGGCAACCTCCTTCCACTTGTTGTACTTGGCCTTGCCCTGTTATCATACAACCGTTAGCTTTCCGTTTCTACATCACTACCGCCAGTCTCTTCGTAGCGACGACATTCTTGCCGTCCGCCTCATCCCCATCGTTCTCCGTTATCTACGTAGGACGTCGATCGCGGCGTTTCGTCCGGGAAACTCGGGTGGCGAGCGGGAACGAGGAGGCTACCCTACATGGATCTAGATGGTGAAAGAAAAGGGGTGACGTACAGTAAGATCGAACATGCCCGGCTTCTTTGCCGCGTTGATATCCGCACCCTGTGCAATCTTGGCATTCGCATAGAGCTATATTGTCGTCAGCTTCATTTCTCCTGTTTTTTTTTCTGCTTCTTCATGCATAGTGGATGCAGGTATAGTAGAGCTTGCATGGGCCTTCCTGCATAGCCTTTATGCATCGCTGTTGCTTTTTCCCCATATGTTGCTGCTTACTGCAGCTTTGGTCCCGGACGGGGGAAGTTTAAGATAGCAGTGTAGAGAAGAGCAGAGGGTAACATGGAAGGGAAATGGGAAAGGGGGAAACGTACCTTGAGCTGCTCATCGTTGCTGGGACCTTGCGCGCCAGAAGCCTTGAGCTTCTCGCCCATGGCGCTGACTTTCTTGTAGACTTCGTCGAACTTTGCGGAAGGCATTTTTGATTCGTAGCTATTTTACGTGTTTCTCGTAAAAGAAGGGTAGAAGGTAGGTAATTTGTGTTAGAGGGGTTCTGGTCGTGGTGGTGGTGAGGGGTTAGTTCGAGAACAGGTTCCGAGGGATGTTGGGTTGGTGGGGCACATGGCGTGGGCACATGTGTCTGTCTGTGTCTGTCTATGTGTTGCCCCGCCATTCTGGGCTTATGACGTTGACTGGCTTTCGGTGCTCCCCGCCTTCCCCCCCTTGTAATGTTTGCTTGTGCAATCTAAGTTTCCCAACATGTTTTCTGTAGCACTTTGGGATATATTTTGTATGGACGTAGGTAGATTTGACTCGGGATTTTTTTGAGGGGGTAGTTTGTGTAATGTATGATTTCGTATCTAAGGAAAATAAAAAGAAAACGTCTTAATGTCTAACTAGACATTCCTCATGCTATGTGTATGCAACTCTCGTCTGGCCATCATTTCTCTCGTCTCGGGTCTTGGGTATCTTCTCCCATCGTAAGAGCGCCTTACAGCAAATATACAAGCAGTTGTTGGGCGCGCAAAAAAGTCAGAAAACTGGGTATTAGGAGCATGCTTCGGGTAAGCGCTCTAATGGGTGCCGTTCACACCGTTCACACCGTTTACGCCATTGACGCCATTTACGCCATTCACACCGTTAGTTACGGGTGATGCCTCGAGCTTCTTCCGGTAAAGCTCGCCATCACAACTCCTCAGGCGCTCTGCTGCTTGCTCAGGCGTGATGTCACGCTGAGGCTCGGCCATCATCTCGTAACCGACTTGGAACTTGCGGACTGTGGCGCTTCGCAATAGTGGTGGATAGAAATGAATGTGGAAATGGCTGCATTCAATCTCATCGGCTGTGCCCGTGAGAGGAGCCTGATGCAGTCCCATGCCTGTATTCGTTAGCCACGTCTATTTATAAAAACAAAGTTTGCAGACTTACTGTACGGGAACTGCGTCTCAAAGAGATTATCATAACGCCTTGTAATTTCCGCAATAGCCTCTGCTAGTTGTGCACGCTCTTCTTTTGTGAAATCCACGAGCGATCGCTTGTGCTGCTTCGAGACAATCATAATTTCAAACGGCCAGACGGCCCAGTACGGAACACCGGCCCAGAAGCTTTCGTTCTCAAACACTGTGCGTGCCTTCTCTTTCGATTCTAACTCAGCGTAGTCCACCAACATGTGAGAACCGCCATTTTCTTTACGATACTTGCTCAGCTGCACAAGTTCGGTCGCGGGCTCTTCAGGAAGTGAAGTGGTTGTCCAGATTTGGCCATGAGGATGGGGGTTAGAGCAGCCCATTGCCGTACCCTTGTTCTCGAAGATTTGCATGTACCGGTACTGCGCGCTTGGTGGGGTAAGAGGGCCCTGTGATAGCGGTGGAATATTGATTGCCGAAGCAAGCTTAGCCAGCGGTGATTTTGAATCCAGATGGGCAACATAAATGTTCGTCCAGGTTTCTATAATTGGAACAATCTGAGCGGGTGACATGTCGGCCAGAGTGAGGTTGTGGGATGGGGAGAAACATATGACGTAGCATTTTCCAGTCACGGCTTCAGCGCGGAGCAGGCGGGAAGCAAGGGAACCATCTTTGGAGTCTGGGCGATACTCTTGCTGCTCTTCCATGACGGCACTGTAGTCGTTGACAAAAACAAAGGTGCTCTCAAACTTGGGGTTGTGCTCGCCATTAGCCCGTGTATTTGACGGACATAGATAGCACTGGTTAGAGTTAGTAGTGTAGTCATGTATGGGACTTTGCTCGAGTGCTGGACTACCTTTGGGTCATAATCGGGGAGTGTTGTCTTCGAGGGCGACTCTTGCATGCCTCTACGGAGAAATTAGACGTCTATGCGACAGATGCTTGTACGACTGTGCTTACTGCCATGGGCGCTTTGTCCGGTGTGGAGAAACTAATATCCAACTTCCTCGCAACAGATTGAAGCGCCTGTGGGAGATGTCGTTCAAGACGGGGTCAGTCATGTTGTCGCTATTTTCCCGGTGCAGATGGAGGGGTGAACAGAGGCGGCTTTTCAGGATTTACAGAAGTACATATATATAGCGAGAGAGCACGAGACAGCGAGAATGCAGCATGGGCGGGCTGCAGGCTGTAAGTCAAGCGGTGCACGCTAACAGGGTCAAGCTTTCCCTGCCGGCGGAATACTAACCTGAAGCGGTAGCACACCCTCCACGACACCTCCGGGAGCTTGCGCGTAGAGGTTAAGGACAGCAGAGCCTCTCCATCAACCCACGATACCTGCCCGATTGGAGAAGCAGCCCGCAACCTGTCAACGCAGGGTTTTTTCACCGAAACATGGCGGCAATGATGCCCAGTTCCGCAACGAGCGCCAATCCCTACGATGATGATGCAGTGGAGCGTGACTTGATTGACCCGGACGATGGTGCGTCGCATGCAGCAGCAGCAGCAGCCTACTACCCACCCTTCCACATGTACATACACGAGGCAACCGTCGACGGCAAGCTAACCATCACCAGCTACCCTCGATGACCTCGATGACCCTCTGCAAGGCACGTCGGACCGCGCGCCGCTGACGGGGAACATCCAACGCAACGCTGCTCAGACACAGTCTTACTTGACGTCGAGCATTCCGGGCGAAGACCGCCGCGCGCCAACAAACACCATTGACGAGACAGTATGGGAGACGCTTTCGAGAGACATTTTTGCGATTTGGGAGAAGATGAAGCAGGTGCTGTACCCCAAGTACCTGCTGGGCGGCATGATGCAGCGCGGTGGAGGCATTGGGGCCGCAGAGCGCGGTGAAGCAGACGGTGTCGGCGGTCGTCTCAGGAACATTGCAGGGAGATGGCCAGATGCCGATATCATTCTCCAGGGCGGCATGAGTGAGGGACTAAGAGACTGGGACCTTTGGGGACCGCTCATCTTCTGCTTACTGCTGAGCTTGTTTCTGTCCTGGGGGGCCAAGGGCGACCAAAAAGACCTTGTCTTCTCAGGCGTCTTTGCCATGGTGTGGATTGGAGAGGCTGTAGTGACGCTACAGATCAAGTTACTGGGCGGCAACATGTTCGTACATGGTTCTCACGCATTCACGAGACAGATGCTAATGCTACTACAGCGCCTTCTTCCAGTCCATCTCGATTATTGGCTATACTCTGTTCCCGCTTGTCATTGCCTCGGTGCTCAGCGCTGTCGGTATACCCGTCATAGTGCGCATACCTGTCTACATAGTTCTGATTGCATGGTCACTGGCAGCTGGGGTGAGCATCATGGGCGGATCTGGAGTAGTGAGGAACCGAGTCGGGATTGCAGTATACCCTTTGTTTGTATTTTACGTTGCGCTGGGCTGTCTTTGCTTCATCAGCTAGAGTGGAATGGGCTACTATGGGTTTGGTGTAAAAGTAGTGTGCTACTATTTGGTAGGGGATGCATGACACGGCCCCGGGCGTTCAGGGCAAGCTTGATGAGATGGCGCCGATTCGGCCCTGAGCATGTTCACATATGTAAATTCACTTGAGCTATTCGCAGCGCTCCATACTAGAGCGCCTTTGACACGCCTTCATGATGCTGCAGGTCTGACGTGCATGCACCAAAAACAGCCCAATACGCACGAGTTGCAGCGACCCGCGCCTGTGTTTAGGCAGGTCGCCTTCCCCACTTCGTCATTGGTCTTTGCAGCGACAACGCACTCGACCACGACGGGCAGAAGCGCCAATCCTCTGCTCCTCGGCGAATCACTCAGCACACAGAGCGTGGGTTCACTGTTCACCACCCACCTCTCACTGCAGAAGACGCGTTTGGGACTGGCCCTGGCATTTCTCAGTCACCGCTGCACCGGCGCATTGCAGTGGAAATTTGGGACGCGGCGCTTTGACCGACTCCACTACAACTACTAGACCACTCGATCGACGACCGACTTCCCTCCGCTGGAACAAAGCAAGCCACGGCAGGACATTCCCATTTCCATTCCCAGGGCCTTTTGCCCCCCTTCTGTCCTTGTTGACACTGTCGGGTAAGACCTGCCACATCCCATTGTCTGACCTTCAGCTCGCCGCTAGCCGTGCCAGAGCATCACCTGCGCGACTGTCGCACCTGGCCACCGCAACTTGACCACTCCCTTACTACCCTGCACTTGCCATTCTTCCTATTTACCCAATCCCAGCTACACCAAGCCTACAAGGCCGCACTCTCGGTCTCCGAACCACCGTCTACGCCATCCTTGAACCCGACTATTCTTGCTCCGCAGCGCATACATCAGCCCCTCCCTGAAGCCTCTAGTAGCAGCCTACATATACCATGGCCGACACACCGGAGACACAGCACGAAGCTGCTGCAGCCGTCACCCCGGCCCCCGCAACCAAAGACATTACAGGCACGGCACCAACATCTCCTGCACGGAGCGACAAGAGCAGCGATAGCGAGGGCAAGAATGTGAGGGAGAAGCTCAAAGACACCCAGATCAATGCGCCGCCCACATCGAACCCTGTTTCCGACACCGACCAAGCTACAAAGGACGCGACCAACGGCATCACCAAACCCGGCGACCAGAGCGTCTCAGGATCAGATAGCGAGCGCGGACGGTTACGGCGAAAGCGCAGCCGCGAAGACTTTGAGGACGATGTCGATGCCGACAAGCAGCCGGAAAAGAAGATTGAGCGCCATGCGCGCAAGAGATCGAGGGATATTACAAAGGATCTAGAGGCTGGTATACCTGCCAAGCCTGCCGGCAACGCCATCTCGAGTATCAAGGAAAGCGACACAGACGAGCATATGACGTCGCCCAGCAAGAGCGCATCGACCACGACTGCGACAGCTACGACTGAAAAGAGATCTGGTTCCAACACAAGCCCAAAGAACAAGCGATCGCGTGAGGAAGCCGAGAACGACACTGAAGATACCACCAAAGGCACCGAAATCGGAGCAGCAAATGGCGACACGGCTCTTAGCGAGGAGCGTGATTCTAAGCGGCTGCGAGACAAGGAAAGAACCCAGAGTATCACAGATACAGAGTCAAAGACCAAGGTAAATTAGTCGATATGCGTCTCTTCTTGATGAAAGCGAAATTGACATTGATATTAGATTCCACCGGGGAGCGGATTCGCCAACACTTCTGCATCATCGCCTTTCGCTGCCATGGCAGCCAAACCCCAGCAAGCAAAGACCTCGGATAAGCCCGACTCGCTACCGCAAACATCTGATGACAAGTTCAAGGCTTCTGGTTTTGGTGGCTTTGCAGCCTCGACTACGTCTCCGTTTGGTGGACTTGGTGGACTTGGTGGGTCCAAACCTAGCACTAGTTCGCCCTTTGGCGCAGCAAGTGGTAACAAATTATCCTCGTTTGCTGGAAGCGCAGCCCCATCAACGCTGGGTGGTGGTGGCGGATTTGGAGCGCTTGGTGGCTCTGGTACATCTTCCTTTGGCGGAAGTTCCTTTGGCGGGTCGCTAGGTGGTGGATTTGGAGGTCTGGGTGGTGTCAAGACAATCGGATCCTTTGCAGCACCTGGAGGCAACTTGGAAATCAAGGGCTTGAAAGAGAAGGAGAAACCTTTTGGAGCAGCAGCAGATGATGAATCTTCCGAAGACGAGGACGGCGATGACGAAGACCCAGAAAAGGGTACTGAGAAAGAGGAGCGGCAACGGCAATCGAGCCAGCCTCTTCTTTCGCAACACCGTGAGTTTCTGCTTGTCTACTGTCAATGAGGAAGCTAACTTTGAAAAAGCACCCGAGACTGGAGAAGAGGGCGAGCAAACCATCTGGACCGGTCGCGCAAAGCTGTACCTCATGGCTGGCGAAGGATCGAACCGAGCATGGAAGGAGCGTGGTGTGGGAACGTTCAAGTTCAACATCACAGTGGATGAGCCCAAGAAAGCCCGGTTCGTGCTCCGCGCAGAAGGTACCCACCGTCTACTTCTCAACGCGGCCGTTACGCGCAAAATGGTATTTGGAGGCGACGCGCAGGGCGAAAAGCCAAAGGATGGACGCCTGCTCTTCAACTCGCCCAATCAAGATGGCGAGCTGGAGATGCACCTGCTCAGGGTAAGGACCCTTTTTTCCTTTCCTTCTTTCTTTTCCTATGGCGATCCTACTTGCTTTTTTTCTTGTGCAATAACTAACATGGATGTGCGCAAACAGATGAAGGCGGAAAATGCCAAGCAGCTCTGGGAAGAAGTAACAAAGGTTCAAGAGGAACAGTTGTAGGAAGCCTTTTCTCTAAGCCTTGAGTGAGTTTTGTCATTTGTCCTCTTTCACCATATCCTACCATGGTTTTGTCCACCCCTTGGGAGGGGGTGTTTTTTTTTCTGTTGTCTGTCTCTCGTTTGAAACGGGAGAGAGATGGAGGAGAAACTGTAATGGGGGGAGGGGGGTTATTATTTGGAGGAAGGACAGGATTTGGAAGGTAGAATTCCACGACGACAAAACTTATGAAAGGCAAAGGAGAAAAGGGCAATCCAAAGCAAATTCATGGCAAAGGCAAAAGGCATGGAACAACAAACATGTATGACGGATTCCGCTCTGTCCATCTTCTTCTTTTCTTCTCAATCCCTCTTTCTTTTTAATTCCTTCTCTATTCCCTTTTAGCCGTAAAGGCTGGGGGATATGGAGGGGGGAGGGGAGAATGCAAAAATGTGGGATGGAAAACAAAAAGAAAAGTCATGATTGGGGAAGAGAGAAAAAAAAAAGGGGGGGGGGAATGCAAAGCATGCGCAATGTTGAAGAGAGAGAAAGAGAGAAAGAGGGTGTAGGAGGAATTGCTAGACCCTTTTTTTTGCTTTATACCAAAAACGTTTGTATGTGTTTATCTTGGTCTTTCTTTTTCTTCTCTTGTCTTGTCTTGTCTTGTCTTCGTTTTTTTTGTTTTCTTGCTTTCTGAACGCAGAGTTGAAGCGAAGCGAATTGGAAAAGAAATGAGAAGAAGAGAGAGAGAGAGAGAGAGAGAGAGAGAGAGAGAGAGAGAGGGATGGACGAGGTTTTGATGTTTGTCGATTCCGAGTCTTTCTTTGTCTGAATGCCAAATGATTGAATGATGGAAGGGGAGGGTATATTATAGAAACTTTTTTTTAGAGCAAGAAGCCGTATGTATGTATGTATTAATGATGAAGGGATGATGGTTTAAAAATAACGTTCAGATTTTGAATAGAAGTTCAACGTGACGAAATCGAGTTGAGAAGTGAGAAATAAAAAAAGTCTCCCTAATTGCGTTCTTACCATTTGCCCAAGTTGGACAAGGGAGGAAGAAACCAAGAATATGTAAAAAGTCTACAACTGCAAATCCCCAACCACACCTACTTGTTGTAATACTCCAACCCGAACCCTAAAGCCTTGCACTGCGCCTCTTCTCTAAAACCCGTCATACCACCCTTCTTCCCTACATCTAGTGCTTTCAACATTGGATTCTTGACATCAACCGGACCCCAAGTTCCCTGCACCTCCAGCATGACCGTAGTATTCGTGAAACCCCTAGTTTTCAAGAAGGCAGGATCGGGGTTGGGATTGCCCGTTCGGGCGAAAGCAGTCCAGGAATCGAGGACGAGTTGGGAAAAGGGAATGTCATAGTCGTCGCGGAGGGGTCTGCCTTGTGGGACGACGGTGCCGAAGACGGTGGTTAGCTCGCCCGAGTGGCATTTGTAGTCTGCATTTGAAAATTGGTGAGCTGGGGTATCCCCTGTTTGAAACCTGATGTGTAGTTTTGTTTTCTCTTCGAGAGTATGGTAACTTACACGGTAGATTTGGGTCGCCAAACGGGTGATCTGGTGTGATGAGAGCTTCGCAAGCTGGGGGATTGGGACTCCACCCTTTAAGCTGGAAGGATCTATCGAATTCGTAGGCGTAGACTTTATCGAAGATGCGGTTTGCGGCTCCGGTGTAGGCAGTACTTTGCCCCAAACATCTCAACTGGGCGTCCGTGGCTACCCTTGTGGTGAGGTTGAAAATGGCAAGCGTACTGTTGGCGATATCTGGAAGGGGAAAGGTGTTTGAGGCAAGAATGGTGGAAGCAGGGTAACCTTGAGAAGAGAGGACGTCAGAGAGGTTGGAGGAGGTTGGATAGGACGTAAACGACGAGCCATCGTCGTGCATGATGCCCATCATGACGGGTTGTTTTAGTTTGGGTGCTGTTGGGCCAAGAAGGAGGGAGTTTGTTAACAATTTACCATCAATGACTGGGAAGCTGGGAGACTGTTAGCTTGCTGTTGATGCAGGTACTCTCCGTGGAACACTGTGACGAGAGAATTTACTGACCCAGCAATGTTTTTAGCATTGATCAATGCCCATGGATCCACCTTGCGTAGGCATTGGACCATGTCCTCACCCTGGAGCTGCCCACACCCCATTTCAGCGACGACACCCTGGGTACGTTTGGTTTCTTCTGCAATAGTCAAGTAGTTTGAAAAGGCTGACGAGTAGCTCATGCCTTGAGGGTTGCTCATCATAATTGAGCGTGCAAACTTGCCTTGTGCCCGTGGTGATGCCAGCAAGGCTCTTACCAGAGATGCTCCTGCACTCTGTCCGAAGACGGTAATTCTGTCTTTGTCGCCGCCAAAGTCACCAATATGAGCACGAACCCAGTCCAAGGCGGTAATCACGTCGCCGAGACCATAATTTCCTGTCAGTGAAGTATTGCTTAGGGCAAGACCGCCAAGGGTGGACAGGCGATAGTCGACGGACACGACGACAACGTCTCCTCGAGATGCCAGGGCCGAGCCGTCATAGGTAGGATCACTTGCTGTTCCAGTGAGGAAACCGCCGCCATGCAACCAGACCATGACGGCCTTGAGCTTTGGAGCTTTGTTTACAGGGTTGGGGAGATATGGGGTCCATATGTTGAGGAAGAAGCAGTCTTCGGCATAGACGTTTGGGTCTGGAGAGTCAGACGAAACCTGCATACATATGGGGGCATAGTCGAGTGCCGTCGTGTTTGAACCAGGCGTAGGGGGTAAGTATTTGGAGTGGGTAAAGCGGGCTGGAACAGCGCCATACTTGATGCCCAAGAAACGAAAGGACGGGGAAGAGTCATCCCGACGGCCTATCATGGTAGCATTGTTAGTTGTGACGGCAATGCGGGGTAGGGAAGTGGAAGCAGCGGCGGTTGAGCACAAAACAGGCAAGTGCTTGTCACATGGGTGGTGCTCCAATTGGCCACGAGTAGATATTGCTGTGCACTGTGAGGTGGAGTTGCCGTCGACCCAGAGGAGACAGTCAGGACCAGCGAGTTTTGCATAACTGAGGTATTCGAGATAGGCCGAGTCTTGGGCATGGCTGCGGGGGTTCCAGAGGGTGGTGTCGAGAGCAGCGCATTGGGAACGGGCGGCAGAATAGGTATAAGGGGTGGTTAGCAAGATGCTTGCGGCCCTTCTGCTGGAAGCCTGGCCGTAGAGGTCATTGTGAGTGATGATGGACAAATCAGATGCAAGTGATTGAGGGCTGGGTATGCCAGATGCGCCAGCAGAGAGGAGCAGATGGAAGACGGAGAGGAGGCCCAAAAGCGCAGCCATGATGAAAACGGAAGGCGACTCTGTTGACATTGACAGGTCCATGATGCAGCATTTTATACATTAGCCCACGGTCTAGCATGTTGAGTATGTCACGGCCAGCGTCTTCCGTTGGACGGCACGGGTGAAGGAAAATTAATTAGTCGAGGAAGAAGTCGAGTGGCGATATGGTATAGTTGTAGAAAGCGGGAAGAGAGAAGGAGCTCATTGGAAGGCGGTGGCAGGGAAACGGGCAGGCGCGACCGACAAGGCCGGCCGACGGACAAACCCCGTCAGGGTCATTGTGGAGGCAAGGCGAGAGAGGGCAGGGCGGACTAGGACGACGACGATGGCCAGGCAGTCGTTGTTCGGGGGGATGCTTGGGTCGCAAGGGCCCGTGGGCGCAAAACAAAGCAAGAGACGGACGTGGGCTGGCGTGTGATATAAGTAGCATCAATGGGTACATATGCTAACTACTACGGTATGGCAGGTGGCCCAGCTGCTGCAGGCCGTTGGCAATGACGTTTGGGTGGCGGCGCAGTGTTTCAGCAGCGCGCGCCCTGTCCCTGTTTACGATTCGCCGCCTCTCTGGCTCGCGTCGCCTGCCCGGGTGAACAGCGGCATCGCGCACATTTGCACATGGACACGATGCATCGGCGCATGCATGCACGCGCACGGCTATATCCAGCTGGTGGTTGGGCGCGCAGGCCAGAGGGCGGCGCGGGAAGAGAGACGGGGGTGTGAGAGAGAGAGGGAGGGAGAGAGGGAGAGAGGGAGAGAGAGGGAGAGGGAAAGGCACAGGGAGGGCTCCGTCACCGCAGCCAGCCAGCCAACGCTCGGACTGCAGGCGAACTCGATCTGCGCGCCAAAGCAAACAGACCCCGGCCATCCAGCCATAGCGACGCCGCTGATTGGCTACTGGACCCTGTGCTGCCTGCTCCACGGAATCCGCTGCTGCCGTTTCTTCTCGTCACATCCACGCCCAAACGTCGACCCCCCCCAGGCCTACCGCATTTCCTGCTCGTCCCATATCAGCCGTATCATCCACCCTCTCTCTCTTTTGATGCGTGCATATCCTGTCCTCGATGCAACATGTCGCCCCAGAGCCCCCGACGGCCCTCGCCTCCACTCTGCCCGCGTTGTGGCTCGGGGACGGCGGCCGCCGCCACGGCCACGCCAGCCACATGCTGATATCTTGAGACCGCGCTTCCTGCAACCCCTCGGTGACTAATGCCCTCTAGCCCTCCCAGCTCCCTCCTGGCCTTGTCCTTGGGCACCGCGCACAGACCACCTGCGCTAAGCCCGTCTCGCTCGCCAGCGTCGGGGCCATTCATTCTCTCACGACATTCGCACGCTCGATTCTCCACTGCCATTCTGACTCCCATACCGCACCACGCCCCCGTTGCCCCAGCCAGCCTGCCCTCCATCTGCTCTGCTAACGTCGCAGCCGCTGTCGCCATCCGCCTCGACGGCCACGAGTGCGCGCGCCCTCTCCTCTGGTGCCGCTGTCTCCTCTCTCCCCCCCTCCCAGCCGACTGCTCCCTCCGACGCCGCCTCGAGCCTCGCATCCTCACCACACTGCCTGGCCACCGGCGCACCCCATCACGTCTCGTAAAACGTCTCAATACCCTCTCTTCATGATATCCGCGAGATATCGCCTTGCCACTGACGTCTCCGAGCCCGTGTTGTCGCCTTCTAGCTTGCCAGCTCGCGCTGCAACTGGACACGCAGCCCTCTTTCCCTTGGCTGCATCTGCTCCATAAGCGCCTGGAAATCCTTCTACTCCCAGCTTTGTCCTTGGTGCTGCTCACTCGTTCCGTCTCGAGCTGCCGTTGGTAGCTCTGCTCTCCCTGTCCGCGTCCTGGGCGTCATGCGATCCCCACAACACACATCTTGAGCAACCCACTACACAAACACCACTCCTCAGTACCGTGCCTGCCTGCCAGATTATGACAGACGTCTCGGCGGTTCAGGCGTATGCTGATCCTCAGCCGGCTCCCCTCGCCCTTTACGCTGGTCCTCCACCACCCGTCTTTGCCCAAGCTTCTCCACCCCTAGACGGCGTCGTTGAAGAGGAAGAATCGTCCACAATCAAGTGCATCTGCGGCTACGCCGACGACGATGGCAACACGGTGCTGTGCGAGAAGTGCGACACGTGGCAGCACATTGTGTGCTACTACGAGTCTGCACAGCATGTGCCCGACGTGCACGAATGCGCAGACTGCCTGCCGCGCCTGGTCGACGCAAAGAGCGCCTCGGAGAAGCAACGCATCCGACGAGAGATGCACAACATTGGCGAGCGCAAAGGCCGGCCAAAGGCGTCTGCAAAGAACCCCAAGAAGCGCCCAAAGGACTCCCTCGTGCCAATGCAGGCCAATGCCTGGCCCACGCAAACCAACGGCGACCTATACTACCCCCCTGACCGCAAGAGCGGAAGCCCACGAGATCAGCCTCCTCCAAACAAGCGGCCCAAGACCAACCATCGCTCTTCTGCTTCTATGAGCGTCGTCAGCCAAGCACCAGCTCTTGCGCCCACATCACGCAAGCGAGGCGCGTCTATTCTGGTCAACGGCCACAGTCCCGTAAAGTCACCGTCGAATCCCGACGGTCCCGTAGAGGATTACTCGTACGAGTTTATGCATCTCTACCGTCAGCCCGAGCCGCCTTCTGCAGAGTCCAACTCGTATACGCGCATCGATGTTGCCAACGACATTGCCATGTGGCTTCAAGACCCAGAAGCGCTTGCAGAGGCAAGCGGAGGCAAGAAGCCACAAGACATTTTTTCACGCATTGACAGCACCATACAGGATCTCGAAACCAAAACTGCGCCAGAAATCGTGAAACAGACAGACGTCGACTCGGCTATACTAGCGCATGGCCTTCACCCTCAGTGGCACTTTATTACAGCCGAGACACCAGTCCCTGACGGAGGTTACGTTGGCGAGCTCAAGGGTCTCATCGGCCGCAAAACCGACTACTATTCAGATCCCTCAAATCGATGGGATCTCCTGCGACATCCCGAACCATTTGTCTTTTTCCCTCCCCACCTACCCATCTACATTGACACGCGGCGCGAAGGCAACATACTCCGATACGCCAGAAGGAGCTGTAACCCCAACATGTCCATGAAGATTTTGATTGACTCGAGCAACGACTACCACTTTAGCTTCCTGGCAACTCGCGAAATCAGTCCTGGAGAAGAGCTCACCGTTGGCTGGGACATTGACTCCGAAGTACAAAAGCAACTAGCCAAGGTTGTCACCAACGGCGCCAAGGAGGGCTTCCGGAAGATCCAGCCTTGGGTGTCGTGTGTCCTCGCAAACTTTGGCGGCTGTGCTTGTGACATTTCCAACGGCAACGAGTGCCTTTTGGAGCGAGCCCGTCGCAACAATCCCGTCACAGAGTCAGCAAAGACCAAAGGCAAGAAGATGAAGAAATCTCAAACATCCCCTACAAGCACCGGCCATGCAACCAACAGCCGCGCAGGCAGCGAATTGGCCAACCGCGACATTGTGGACGACGACCAAATGGACGCCCGCTCTACTTCTGGCTCCCACAAATCAAGCAGTCGCGATATTACACCAGCGACCCATGTTTCCCTCGACGGCGAACTCAAACTATCGGAGCGTGAGAAGAGGAAGATCCAGCATCAGGAGCTCTTGTTCCAGAAGCTCGATCACGACGAGCACAAGGGAAAGAGGAAACGCACTAGCGCTGGATCTAACCTCAACACACCGAACCTCTCATCTTCTGTAAGAAGTCTCCCCCACATTGTCTACTGGGTCTTTCTAATTCTAAGCAACAGAGACGCTCCGGAAACCCCGAGCCTTCACCGTCAGCTCGTCATCGGGAACACAGCCACGGTGTGGCCCGCAAGACTTCAGGAAGTTCTATAAAGACAAACGGGCGTGCACCGGCCAGACCGAAGCCCGTCTATGTGGATGCATCGACGCAAACGGCACAGGATGATGATGCAAAGCTACCAGCTTGCACCAAGCCGCGCCAGTTGAAGCCTCCAATGTCATTCAAGCGCAAACTTTTACAGCAAGCCCAAGAGGATAAGCTGCAACGCGAACGAATGCGGTCGGCATCTGTGAAGATGGAAGTCCGATCCCCGGCTCTGAAAGACGTTTCTTCAAACAAGCCCTCTCCACTGCCACCGTCACCACCGCTCGAGGAGCCTTCTGTAATGGATACATCAACCGAGCCTGTACCTGACACGAGGCAGCACAAGGAACTCACTCCCGCCAAGGAGCCCTCGCCTGAGCCTACTGTAGATGTTGAGATGACGGATGCTGAAGTCGCTGCTCCCAAGTCTCCAGAACCAAAGACCGAGGAGTTGCCTGACGCACCTAGACCACAGACTCCGCGCGAAACCTCTTGTCCACCTAACCAACCATCTGCCCCGCCGTGGTCGGCCTCAATACCAACCGAACCATCACCAAAGTCTACAGCAGAATTCCCGCCTCAATCCGCTGATATGGAAGTCGAAACTCCTGTAAAGCAGGATTCGGCCAGCGCAGTTAACAATACCCCCACCACTTCTGTATCGAGCTCTGCGCCCGTGACCGATAGTGCCGCTGCACCCTCTCCAGCCGCATCAACGATTGCGTCGCCCTTCTCTCCTGCTGTTAACAGTGCCGTCAAGGCAACACCAGCACGCAAAAAGCTCAGTCTAAGTGACTACACCAATCGCAACCGCAAGACCAAGTTGGCTCAGACACAGTCGACCGGTTCAAATGCCACGCCGCCACTGACTACATCGCAATCCACAAGCTCTCCAACGCTATCGACAGCCAGTCTTCCAAACACAAACTCTCCACCGCCCAAGGTCGTGGAACCTGTCCTGGCACCCGTAGCAGAGGAGCCGAAGCCTACCGAGGTATCCGTTGCACCTACTATTGCGGCTACTTCTACTTCGATATGAGCGACATGATTCACGATACCCCCGCTCTTGTTTTGCAACCAGTTTTTACGGGCCGCCGGGCGACTCGCGTGGTTTCTCCTTCTCCTTTTTTTTCGGAGTGTAAAAATATGTAATGATTATAAGTCGAATGATTTTTCTTCCTACCCTTTTTTTTTCTTTCTCTTATCTACTCTTTTCTTTATCCAGACGACTTGAAGTGTTCGGTCTCGGGGTCTTATTCTTTTTTTTTGGTGTTGTTGCTGTTGAACTCATTGATTTGATGTCATTGAAGGGTGACGGAGGGTAGTGAGTGAAGTTTTGATTCAAATATGATATGTGGAAAGGAACAGGAAAGGGGACTTATATACTACAAAAAAGAACAAAAGGCAGGATACATTTTTCTTCGCCGCGAAGCGAGAGCGAGCTCGAGTATTTATTTTCCATTGTTGCAATGTGCAAATGAGGCTGGTTGGGACGGTGTTGTAAGCAGATGATTGCTAGATCAAAGCGAAATAGCATTGTTGACCAGGACTGACGGTCCTGTTTTGTTGCCCTTGAGTATTTTCCCGACTGTCTTGATGGAACTTGGTGGGGGAATGAGCACGCTTGGATCCGCTTTCTCCATTTCTCGCAAGATACATACAACACAATACAATACATCAAGCCACTCCCAACAAGGAGTAAAAAACAAATCAAAACACGTGCGGACATTTGAGTGGAAATATCTAGTAACTAGTAATGTATGTTTTTTCCCCCTCTTAACACTTCATCTGTCATTTATCATCTAAAGAAAGCCCCCCCCCCTCTTCTAAGCCACACCTTTCTACCCATAAAAACCGCCAAATAAAAATTACAAAATCGAAGAATCGAAGAATCTAAGAAGAAGAAAAATTGGGTATTACATTCACATATTCCACACACACACACACCCCAAATCTACGTAACGACAAAACCCCCCAAAATATCATCCTATATGAAAAGAACCTCCCCCCCCGTGTTACCCATCACCTCCCTCCCCTCCTCCTCTCAAACACCGCATCAAAATACCCCGGCACCTTCTCTCTTCCTTCTCCCTCAGCACCAGCAACCCTCCGAGTCTCCCCCCCAAGCTCACTCTTCTGTCCCACCTCTCGTTCAACCGGCGTGATAGCATCAGCAGCATCGCCTGTGGGACCTAATTCGTGTCTTATTTGTACCTGCTGCTGCTGCTGTTGCTGCTGCTGCTGAGTAGGAGGAAGAGGAGGAGGAGGAGGAGTGTAGTATTCAACAGGGGTGTAAGCGGGATGGTGGGGTGGCGGGGTTTGTGTGTCGTATTTCCCAGGTAAAGAATATGGGGGGTGGATGTGTGGGTGAGGTGGAGGTGGTGGTGGTGTTGGGATTGGACTTGGTGAGGAGGTTGGAGCGCGTGGAGGAGGGAAGTATAGGGGGATTTGGGATAAGGAAGCGGGGTAGGAGGGGTATTGTTGG